GGGGGGTTTCTTGGAACCCAGCGGAGCGGGTTGGGAGCAGGGGGCTAACAGGTAGGAGGAGGTCTGAGGGGTTGGGGGAAGTGGGCCGGAGGCAGGTGGCGGCATCTGCTTCTGAAAGTGACTAACATCGGGAAGAAGGAAAAAGTCTGAGGGGTGTGAAAGTGCGTTGGGGGCAGGTGCTTAATAGGTCAGGCGGTCAGGGCCATGAGGGATTGGGGGGGGGGGAGGGGAAGCAGGTGTGTGAGATGTTCTTCTCCAGAATGGGGTAACAGAGCAATAGGGGAGACAGGAAGTACGGAGCAGGTTGCTGGAAACGTGGGACGGGGAAGGATCAGCCTCTGATGCTGCGAGTCTCCCATGCACCGATGGAGAAAGAGGAGGGGTTTTTTTGCTGGGGGGGGGTTAGGCTGAGCTCAAGAGCAGATGAGGGAACAGGGAGGGGAGTCCTTTGTGTGGGATAGGAGCAGTGTGTGTTTTATTTTGCAGCTCAGAAGGTCGAGGGGAGGGGATGTGAGGGGCAATGCAGCTGTTGAGACAAGGGGGTGAGAGATAAGAAGGGTAAAGAGAGAGAGAGAGCTACCTTCCCAGCTGGGGTCTTGTGTTCAACTCTTCTAGTTACTTTCTTTTTGTTGTTGCTTTGGCTGCTGTGATCTGGACTGTGTCTGCATTTGGCTACCTCCTCCTTTCCTGTCAATGCTGCTGTTCTCCCCTTCTGTACATTTGACTTGCTGTGATCTCTGCACACTTTACAAAATGTCAGAGGGGTGGATTAAGTTATAGTTGGCTTAATCTTCAATTTAGTGTCTCCAAGAAGAGTGAAAGGGGAAATGTGTTAATCTGCCATAATGTTTGCATCTACTGTTCACTCTTAAAAAAAAAAAGTGTATCCTTTTAGAACAGTGGCTGCAGGGTTGGGTTTGGATTAGTTGATAGATACTGCAGTAAAGAAGGGATGTATAGTTATGAACAGACATCACTGAGAAGTTGGCTTGTTGAGCATCAAGCTAATTGATACAATACAAAAATCAAACTATTGACTTCCTCATTCTGCTGTCTTAGAACACCTCATTTCATTTTAGCATATACCTCCATTTATTACTTAAGATTATTCCTTGTCAAGTAAAAGAAGGCCAGAACATTCTTCTACCTTCCTTTCAGAAATAGTTTTTAATATTCCTTGACAGTAAAAGCAGTAATAATTTTGTGCTAATGTAGGTTGCAGCACTGTTTCCTCTGAAATTAATAACAAACCTAATGTCTTTAAGATTTTGTACAACAAAAAACTGATTTCTATCTGAACAACTCATATTTGACCAACATTATTTAATTGCCAGGAAGGGAAGTCAAATGAGAAAGATGAATAAGTTGTTTAATTTCTTATCCTGGAAAGAACATATTTTGCAAGTCTAAAGCCTACAGTGTAAGTTGAGTTTGAACTACCAATTTCGTAGATTAAGTGTTTGAAAGAATTACGCTTCATCACTGCATACAAATTGCTAAACAGTAAGTTGTTTGAGGTTTTTTTAGAATAAGCAAAATGCTTGGGGAAAGTGTGATTGTGTTAATACCTGTACAGTTAAGATAATCCCTAAATCTATAGATGTGGTGAACTGTGCATTAGTTAAACCTGCTAGTTTAAAACATTACTTCTATCTAGTCTGAGTTGAATAAAAATGGATTAGTGTGGCTTGAGTAAGTTCTCAATGTATAAAAAACTCAGTGAAGTTATGACAGAAGGGTTGCTATACTGTATATGCAGTGGAGCCCCATATGTTTGAGGGTTTGTTGTTTTTTTACTTTTCTCTGTTAGAAAGTTTTGAAAAAAAGACTTTGAAGTATTTTGTTTATACTAACAGACAAGAAAAGTTCTCCTAAGAAAAAGCTGGTGGCAGGAGTGTAGAGGAGTAGCATATGGCATTAAAAGGAGCACAGCTGGAGGTAGCATTTCCATCTGAACATGATGTCAGAGCAGCTGACAGCCTGCCATCCCTCAGCCTTTTATTCT